TAGATAGATAGATAGATAGATAGATAGATAGATAGATAGATAGATAGATCACTATCCCTGCATGTTTGTATTGAGTTAGGTGTAGAGTGCGTTTATATTGAAAAGCAGACAGGCACCTCTTACGTTTATGCGCGCTTGGTACTCGGCGCTACCGGCCGAGTTGCGTGCGACGCAACGATACACTCCCCCATCTCGAATGAGCGGACTGCTGACGTTGACGTGAGACACGGTGAGGCCGTCCGACAGGGTGTACTGGCTGGTCTTGTAGGTGGAGTCTCGTACGACTTCCTCGTCGTCCAGRGTCCAGGTGATGGAAGGGGGCGGAGCTCCTTTTGCAGCACACATTAGGGAGAAAGGTTCGCCGGGGTTCACCACCCGCTCGCTGAAGGAAGACACAATACGAGGAGTACCATCTGAGAGGGGACAGGGAGAAACAGAGAGCTTTGATTTAAAAAATRCATTCATGGAGTTTATCTTTCATAGAATTAATGCTTGCTAAGTTTCATGACAGTCCACACACCCTCTAACAAAATAATGGAAAAGTCCTGAGCAGTGTGGCCCTTCCGGGAAGCAAAGCACTGGTAGGCCCCAGAGTGGAACTTTTGCGCCGCTGTGATCTGCAGGGTGTCGTTGTGTTGCCCCTGAATGGAGATGTGCTGATTAGCGGCAATAGGCTCTGTGTTCCTGTACCAGGTGATGGTGTATTCAGGAGAGCCCTCCACAGTGCAGGTGAAGAACAGTGTGCTGCTGATGCCTGTTTTCAGATTCTTAGGAGACAAGGTCACCCGCAGTGGATCTGAGAGAAGCAAACACACACACAAGGTCAAGATGCACATCAGAACATGTCAGCACACATGCAGAACAAAATGCAAAAACTCTTTTCAACTGCATTGGTCTTTAACACTATTTCCCAARGAACCATATCAAAATAAAAAAGATTTGAAACCCCCTTTTAGGTTTAAAAGTTTTGAGTCTTTTTCACTTTTTTTTGTGACCCAACTATTGATTCACTTACTGTGATCCATTGAATATGTGCAAAAATCTTTTACTTTAGCTAAATAACAGTAAAATGTTTTTTAATAGGATTTTACACTCAGAAAGTGAACTAAATAATGAAAATGTGTTAGCTACATTTTTAAACATTTTATTTATATATGCAGTTTACTAAATGCTGAACAACATGAGAGAGTCATTTTTGGATGAAATGTTGTCTAAATGATATCCAATCTGTCCACAGAGGGCAAAATTTCATGAAACTTGTTAGAAAAATTAGAATATTTTGTAGATTCTGTAAAMGAAAAAATGGCATCTGGATTTACAGAAAAATGGTAAGACAAATAAAACCTCATGTATGACCCAAACTCATCTCCGCTTTTTATCATAATCATTTCTTCCTAAGCTAATTAGTCCTATTGCTTTCTGTCTGTTGCATCCCCCTTTTTTGCACTTTCAGCATTAGATTTGAMCCTAATTACAAGCTGTTAGTGAGTGTTCTGATTGACTAAAGTGTGCTTTTTCATAACCATTTTATACTTCGAGGGCTGGATTGAATGAGCTCATAGGCCAGATTTAGCCCGGCAGCCACTAACTGAAGATCCCTGCTCTTTAATTAGGAGACCTTTTGTATCAGTTTATGACTGAGAAAGCTGTAAAAAATAACTTCAATATTTCAAATCGCTTTTGTAATTTTTTAAAACTTTTATTATGAATGTAACTAAAGCAAATAAAAGCAATGATTAGACATTTTTTATTGACATATAAAACAAATGTTCAGTGGATCTCAGTGCTTTGTATCAACTAAGTAAGTCTAAAAGCATCAGAGTGGACTCAGAACGTGACCCACTGATCTGAGCGTACAGTAGCTGTTTGCATCCAGACAGAGAGGGAACAATCAGCAGCGGTGACTCAATCAGTTGGACACTCTCATTAAAAAACAGCTGGAGATATCGCTTCGCATCTCCGTCCACTAGTGTGTTTGTAAGTGTGTCTGTGTGTTAAAGACAGCACGTGTGTGTGTGTGTGCAAATGTCAGCGAGCAATAAGGCAGCTGGTGGTGTATGCTGGGGGGCATTGCTGCCTCTCCAGCCCCCCCCCCCCACCCTGTCAGAGTCACAGAGTGTGCTGCCATGATGTGCCCACTGGCAAAGCTCACTGCCTCTCTATTCTCTCCCTCTGTCTCGCCTCTCTGSCTTTGTTTTGTCGTATACCTCACACAACGTGCATTTATCTGGCCCACTCTTATTATCCTGTTATTACGTTGCAGATAATCTCATTCCAACACTGTCTGGGTGTGTGATTGTCCCTCGCGTGACCCCCTRGTCTTCATTTCCACCTTCCTCGCCCCCTTTGTTTTGACGGTGAGAGGCGCTGGCAGCTGTGTTATGGAGTCAGACTCTGCGATTTACTGCCCCTGTCTCTCTTTTTGAGGTCTGATATGATGGGGCATCAAACAGCTCACACACATTTGTTGCACACACGCCTGAAGTGTGACCATCTAGACACGTGTCTCAAAAAAAAGGGACTAGAAGTGTGTGTTCTTCTGCCAGGTTGACTCTTTCATAGAGCATCTGTAAGAGGCTGTCAGATTATTTGTCAAGGTGTGTGTGTGTGTGATGGTGCTCACACACCTATAACGTGAAGCTGTCCAGACACTTCCTTTGAGCCGAAGCTGTTGGTGACCTCACAGGCGTAGCTGCCGCTGTCCTCCTGCCTRAGGTCGCTGATGGTCAGTCCCGTCAGGCGCCGTGTCCAGCGAGCGTCCGAGGGCAGCGGCCGGCCGTCTTTCAGCCAGCGCACGGTGGGGCTGGGGTATCCGCCCGCTGCGCAGGGGAGCTCAATGCTCTGGCCTGCATACACCTCTCCTGCTTGGAAACTGTCCAAGATGGCGGGCGAGGACTCACTGGGGTCTTAGAGTAGAGATAGGCTCACATGATTATACTGAGTTTAAAACAAGCTGTGAATGCTGAGTGTTAATGGAAAGTTGTTAGGGCTTAAAGAAGCAGAATACTAGCCAAAATCTAAAAGTAGCCAACCACTGCAAACTACAAATTGTAGTTAAAAATAGAAAATAGCTAAAAGTTAAAAGAAGCAAAACACTCATTAAATGATAAAAGTAACAAGATGCTTATTAGCTCAAAGTCAAAAATAACAGAAAAAAACAAAAAATATAACTAGAATAAGGATACCTGAATCAAACAAAAACCTAGATAAAAAAATAGAAAGTGAATAAAACATAAGCAGCAAAAACAATCTAGGAAAGCTGAAGTAACAAAATGCTAGCTCAAAACAAAAAGGAGCAAAATGTTAACTAAAAACCAAAAGTAGTYAAATGCTAGCTTATAGTAGCAAAACACCTAAATGCTAAAAGTAGCAAAAGGCCAGAAAAAAACAGAAAAAAGGTTACATAGCAGATAAAAGTAGCAATGGCTGGATAAAAAAGTAGCAAAATTTAGCTCAAATGGCTTGATAAAAGCTGAAGGTAGCAGCTACAAATAAAAAAATGGTAACTAAAAGTTTTAAATAAAATAAGACATAAATAGAGGAAGTATGCTGAAGCAGACATCAACAAAAACAATGAGTTTGAACGGCTAAAACTGCACAACATATGAAGAAGTCCTTATATTGGAAAAAGCGTGAAGAAAAAAAAAACAGGAAACAATAGTGTGAATGCTGACTCAGCAGTTACACAATAAAACAAAAGAGCAAAAGCAAACAAACAACAAGCAGCAGCTCACCCATGACTGACAGCCTGGCCCCGTTGCTTTGTCGTGTCTCACCGCTGTACTTATGCTTGGTGATGCAGCGGTACGTGGACAGGGCGTCCTCCTTCTGGACATCAGAGATGTAAAGAGCCCCAAAGGAGGTCAGGGAGAACCGGTTACCTGAGGAAGACACATTCAGCAGAGAAACGTAATGATAATCACAAGCATCCTGTAAAACTGCTTTCACCTTCCCTCTGACACTCTGGCACAATCACATCGTGCTTATTGCAAAAGCATGTTGCACTGAAGACAAACAGCTGCCTGAACAGTTGTCACTTCCTGCCTAATGATGCTGACAACTAAAACCTGGCTCTCCATCAGGACCTGGAGGACACCCATCGGTCACTTCCTCCTCACATGGACGACATCAGACAGACCATCTCCTGCTACACACGCTGTAATTTCCCAACTATCTACATGACCCTAAAGCTGTTCTGAAGAAATAATAAATCAGGTATCAATATTTGTTTTGTGTTGCCATATTTGTAGTTTAGAAATACAGCTTTCACACACTTCTATAGTTCAAAGAAGCAATAAATGACAACGTTTGATAGAGGAAACTATCCTCATAGGTTAATGACCAAACATCCTATAAAGTTAAACATATGAAATCACCACATAAACACATACATTTACCAGATTTATTGTGGCATGTTTTGAGCTGGCTGCCATGCAAAAATAAAGTRGGTTTAGATATTAAAGGTTTAGTTATCAGTTTTGTTGTTTAACATCCAAACTGCAGGTTYGCAGCTGGATCCAGATGCCTACAAATGTGTTCATCTGCATCACTGTCTGAGCCAAACAGAAACGTGTTTGCCGGTCAGAGAGGTTGAGCGGGGCACGTTGAAGGTAGCAGTTATGGACTGTGCGTGTGTTTGCATCAAATGTGCTGCATAACCTAATAGGAGGCACAGGCTGCAATTTTACAGCAGCCTTTGTTTGCCCCCCAGAATGAAGTCTTACAGGATAATGAGCACTTTAAGTCTGCTACTCCCACAACACCGAAGACATGCCTGTCACAACACTCTGACACAGGCAGGGAGAGCGAACGGGGGGAGGAGGTGGGAGTCAGCTGGATCTGTCAGAGCCACACATTTTGCCTCGGTCCTCAGCAGAGGACCAAATTCATCCCAACTGCAAGCTCTGAAACGATGCTGATTACACAACACACATCACATTACCCTGCTCGCTGTCTGACCATCCTAACTCAGCGGACTCATTTTCATGTTTGTGTTGAACTCTCSCATTGTCCATCTTCTCATCTTTTCTCTTCGTCACTTGCTCTTAGTTTCAGTGCAGAGTGGCAGAAAGAGTAAAATATTAAATACTTAAATCACTGCACTCATTCAGCTTTTTTCACTTTTACTTGACTAGATAAAGTGAAACAGGCGCTGGGTATCACTATTTTTTAGTAAAAGTTGTAAATTGTCTTTGACTAGAGTCTGTCTAGATTGTTTAGGGACTCTAATTGAGATTTAATTTGGGTTTTCTTCAATGGTGGCTTTATTGTTGAAACTCACATAAAGCTCAGGTGGGTGAAGAACATGTGCCAAACACGAGGTCTGCGGGCCAAATTCAGCCCACCATAGAATTTTATGCGGCTTGTAAGAGCTTCAAAGTGTATTAATGTCTTAAAATGAGTGTATGCTGCTTTAAAGCCAGTATTGATCGTGAATTACATCTGTCCCTCCAGTGAGAATTTCTTGTCGGGAAGTGGGAGAGTCAAGATGGCCGCTACTCACCACAACTCAACCGTGATTAAAACTCTTTTACTTTTACTTTTAATAGAATTTCTGTTTTATATATTTTACATATAGTCAGTCGTACACATAGTACTTTTCGGTGTTTATAAGAAGACGTATTAAAATGCTGTTTCTATCCAGTAAATATCACATAGAGCTCAGTTATTGAGAGGATGAACATGACGTTTTGTATTTAGTAGAAGTTAAACACAAAATGTCACAATTAATTACAAATGGCGCTTTGAGCACCACCATAATGTGACCCTCAGCGAAAATAAGTTTGACACCCATGTGCTAGAGGGGGAATAATTTTATAAGCACTGGTTTCTTTAAAATCTATCCAGTGGTTCATGAAATATTTTGCAAAGAGACAGACAAACTTTATCACCTTCAGTAATGGACCATAACAAACTGAGCAGATTTATGGAAAAAACACTGACTGAGCTCAACAAGAAGGCAAAAAAATTAGAAATCAGCACCTTTTTTCCCCAATTTTAAACTGTATTTTTCAACAACCTATTTTTTTTGTTTAACTTATATTTTTTACAGTTTAATTTTTTTTACCTACAAAGCTGTTTGAAAAAGTGCCATTGCCTTGAGGAGTCCGATCCTGCAGGAGTTTGGTTGGCTTCAGTGAGATGAATTCAGGGAAAAACCGAAGCAAAAATGTTCACGATACTTATGTGCAGATGTAGTCCAGATGGGAACTATTAGCATTTTTTTATGGAACCACCGAACTAGATTTTTTATGATGCATAAAGCCAAGAATGAAGTACATAATACTTTATTTCACAATTTAAAATCAGCCAAAAAATATTCAAATCTCTTCGTATTTTTGCAAACCAAATTTATTTGTTTTGATAGTTCACAGACCAGGTAAATATCAAGCTTCCAATTAAACCAATATTCTCATATTTTACATTCATATTTCCACTTTTATAAATTGTCTAAATGAGTAAATTCAAATAGCATACATATCTACAAATCAGTTATAATAAAAGCCAATTAATCAAAACCCAAAGCTTGGTGTTGTTAAACTGGTCAGACATTAAAATATAACATGAAAAACATCAAATGCAATAAAAGTTTATCTTGACTTTTTGTTTTATTGGAACAAAATGGAAGCCTTGTCACAAAACAGATCTGCTGCTGAAATAAATTCCAAAAACAGATAAAGGAAATGGTGACAAAATTGCAAAGTAAATGTTTGTATGTAAATGAAAAAAAAAAAAAAAACGAAAAGTATGACATCGTCTATAAATAGAACATATACTGTAGCTGTGTGTGTGTGTGTGTGTGTGTGTGTGTGTGTGTGTGTGTGTGTGTGTGTGCGTGCGTGTGTGTTAGCAGCAGCCTCATTTTCTCACATGCAAATGAAGGCGTCGGTGCAAAGATAACGAGGCCCATATTTCCACTTCCTCAGCAGGGCCATTATTTATTGATGTTCTGCATCCCACCCCCCACCCCCCTCACCACACACACCCTCTCACTCTAACTCTTCCTTCATCCTCTCCCTGTTGCTAGGGCCCTTTTTTTACTGCCATCGTGTTAAGATTTTCATGTACTTTCACCAATTATTAAATTGCATTGTGCTTTACAACCGCTGAGGCTGACGGCAACAGTGGAAACCTTTGTAGTTTGGCGACGGCAGAGAAAAGCTGGCCTAAAATTTCTGCTGAAATCGTTTGGATGAAAAAAAAGTATTTAGCAAGATATGGCTAAATTCTTACARGGTGGTGAGTTTTCTGCGACCTTTGAGTTGCGTACAAATTCAGAAGATGTGTGAAATTTTGTGTGCACTTTTTGGTTTGGATGATGGGACTTTTGAGCTCTTCGTTTTGTGCAGACTGAGAAKTGAAACAAAGACAAGTCTTTTTACAATCAAATGCAGCTTTCAGATAGTGAATCTGACCTGCTTATTTTAAAAGACGCAATTCCTCCAGAGGTYTGGGTTTATAATCTAGTTGTTAATAATCTCAATGTGGACACAAGCAATTTCTTCCTGACTTAAAAAAACAAGAATTACAAGTATTTTCTGCACTGACATCCGGTGTTTGGAACATTTTGTACACTTTGGAGAAGGCCAAGGTTAGAAAACCTGATGGTTGTTGCTACCACCGCTAAAAGTATTWTCATACCAGGCTGTGACTGCTAGTGACTAATTGGGAAAAGGCATCTGCAAAAGACTCTTTAGAATGTCTCGAAATGTTCACAGCTATTCTCCATAAATATTATTTATTTAAAAACTGGCSTAAATCTGCTTATCTTTATTTCAAAAGTCTACAGTAGATTAAATCATACAAATGGGGGTGAATGCCAAGGCAAGCTGAGGCAGGTATGATGTGGGTGGAGGTGGACAACAAACAACGTGAACGACCTAGAATGCAATTTTCCAAAGCACGCATACAAAAATAAACCAAGCAAAACACTGCTGCACAACATACCTGTTGCAAATGCTCAGGGTTAAGTGGATCTGCAATTGAACATGTGCATTTTTTTCTAAAAATTTTGGGTTGCCAACTAACCTCCAAAAATTGTAGCCCAGTGAGATATCACCTTTTGTTGCACTCTTTGCAGCGACGAGAGAAAAGGATCTTTTTCAGTGAATTACAGACAGCAAGCATCAAATTTTAATGGTTCTACCGTCTAAAACAGAACCAAAAACAAACTCACTGAAACACCTTYGTAATGCACTATTGAACTCACATCACTAGTTTCCTTATGTTGGACCACTACAACCTGTTTCTTCTACTTTTATCTTGCTCAACACAGATTTTGACCAATTTCTGTATTTTCTGTATGCCTTTCCAATCTCATTAGGTGCTCCTATGAAGAAGCAAAATAAGAAAATGAGATAAAACAAAGGTCACTAACTGCCAACAGTCATGATGGGTAGTGGTTGTTGTGTTTGAGGAGCAAATGGAGCCACAAAGGAGGCAGATTCAAAAGCTCAGCAAATAACAAAACTCCATGCCCAGTTCTGGCCCACGTGCAGCACTGAACACTCTAACACTCAGTCCAGAAAATGCAAAGAATGACGGCCCTTTGGTGGCCCAGATGTGGTTTGCCAGAGGTGGTCCATGCATGGACCATCACCATATAGTTGACAAACTACGTGGCATGACAGCAGTACCAGCTTTACACCAGATCTGGCCCACACCTGTCTGCTGTGTGGAACTAAGCTAAACAGGAAAACTGGCAAACCAACAGCATATACAGGGTGAGTCAAAAGTCACAGGTCACCCTTTTATTTTGGTCCAATATGATGGCTTTCAAGAGGGCTGCCATTAGCAGACGTTCTAAAAGATAGGCCTATCACCTGTGGTATTCAGATATGTAATTTTGCCCTTTCTTTCTGAAATAAAAGAGTGTCCTAAG